ATAAAAAGCCCTTTCTCACCAAAAGTGAAATAAATAAGCCTCAGGCTGAAGGAAATGTAAATTCACGTCTGTACGGTAGAGGGCTTATGCTGCCATTCGGGATTACATGAAGAATAGGACACAGGAGAATAAAATTCAAAACACTCTTCAGCAATAAAGAGAGAGAGAGAGAGATGCAAATGTTATGCTTATCTAAAGTCATTTTTGATTCTGTTTTTGTGCAAGTGAGTTGAGTAAATGCATTTTCAAATTTAGTCTAGAACAGGGCTGTCCAAACTCGGTCTTGGAGGGCCGGTGTCCTGCAGAGTTTAGCTCCAACCCGAATATAACACACATGAATCAGCTAATTAAGCTCTTACTAGGCATACTAGAAACTTCCAGGCAGGTTGAGGCAAGCTGGAGTTAAACTCTGCCGAGGACCGAGTTTGGAGACCCCTGGTCTAGAACTATAGTAACCATCATGTTTACACAGTGCACACAATGCCTCTGCCCTTACTGATTTCTCTCAACATGGGGACAGGAGAACTATCAGCCAATAACTCAGATATTTTATTGTAGATTAAAAAGTAATGCATTACTTTACTAATTGCTTGAAAAAAGTAATCTGATTAAGTAACTCACATTACTTGTTACCCCCAACACTGCTTTTAATGAGTCATTACTTTTAGGGAATTTATTTATTTATTGCAAGAGTCTTGGAGTATGTCATAAATTGTCACATGTCTAGGTATCTCTATCTCTCTACTAATACTCAAGGAGGCTTCTGTGCTTCCGTCAAGCAATGGTGCTCTTTTGCCTTAAACTTTTATTAAGCTTCATAGATGAGGGGGTGGAGGGGATCTTTTGGGGGGGTTCTAAGCATCAGCATTCCCTAACCCGCTTTAGAGAATTACAGCTTGTGCCAGTATATCGAGCCTGAATTATTCAAAACGCTTTCTAAGCATTGCACAGTGCTAAGTCTGACTGAGAGCTAAAAATAAATCAACACGCGATCCTTTGAACTGCTTAAATGTTCCACATTTGAATTGTTAATGTGTTACTAATTTATTTGTTTTGGGGCATGATTTAAATGTAGTCTAACCAAGTAAAGTGTAAATAATAAATAATACAATTCATAAACCACATAAATATTTTAAAGTAACCTTAAATGTGGATTAATTTATTAGTCTTAGATACAAAATATCAAACCAAGTGGCATCTACAAACAAATTATGCTAGAGCTTTTCTCCTCTCACTTAAACATGGGGGGGGGGGTGTCCAAAGTCGCAAAAATGCACAAAACTACATACAGTTGCTTTAAAGCGGCAAACGACATAACTGCAGCTCGTGCTTGTAACAAACAGAACATTATATCCGTTTTTACGGACGCTAATATCTTTATAGTTATCTTTATAGATTCCATTCTTGGCGAGAGCGTCCCTTTAATGCAACTTTTAATCAGTGTAATGCATTACAATATTGTGTGAGTCCCTATAAGAAAAGTAACTAATAACATAAGGTTAGTTACTGTTTATGGAATGTAATGTGTTATGTTACTTGTGCATTTTAAATCTGGGCTGGGCTTGGTTGTGTGTTTTAATATAAAAAGTTATATTTTTGACAAATATAAAAAGCCCTTTCTCACCAAAAGTGAAATAAATAAGCCTCAGGCTGAAGGAAATGTAAATTCACGTCTGTACGGTAGAGGGCTTATGCTGCCATTCGGGATTACATGAAGAATAGGACACAGGAGAATAAAATTCAAAACACTCTTCAGCAATAAAGAGAGAGAGAGAGAGATGCAAATGTTATGCTTATCTAAAGTCATTTTTGATTCTGTTTTTGTGCAAGTGAGTTGAGTAAATGCATTTTCAAATTTAGTCTAGAACAGGGCTGTCCAAACTCGGTCTTGGAGGGCCGGTGTCCTGCAGAGTTTAGCTCCAACCCGAATATAACACACATGAATCAGCTAATTAAGCTCTTACTAGGCATACTAGAAACTTCCAGGCAGGTTGAGGCAAGCTGGAGTTAAACTCTGCCGAGGACCGAGTTTGGAGACCCCTGGTCTAGAACTATAGTAACCATCATGTTTACACAGTGCACACAATGCCTCTGCCCTTACTGATTTCTCTCAACATGGGGACAGGAGAACTATCAGCCAATAACTCAGATATTTTATTGTAGATTAAAAAGTAATGCATTACTTTACTAATTGCTTGAAAAAAGTAATCTGATTAAGTAACTCACATTACTTGTAATGTGTTACCCCCAACACTGCTTTTAATGAGTCATTACTTTTAGGGAATTTATTTATTTATTGCAAGAGTCTTGGAGTATGTCATAAATTGTCACATGTCTAGGTATCTCTATCTCTCTACTAATACTCAAGGAGGCTTCTGTGCTTCCGTCAAGCAATGGTGCTCTTTTGCCTTAAACTTTTATTAAGCTTCATAGATGAGGGGGTGGAGGGGATCTTTTGGGGGGGTTCTAAGCATCAGCATTCCCTAACCCGCTTTAGAGAATTACAGCTTGTGCCAGTATATCGAGCCTGAATTATTCAAAACGCTTTCTAAGCATTGCACAGTGCTAAGTCTGACTGAGAGCTAAAAATAAATCAACACGCGATCCTTTGAACTGCTTAAATGTTCCACATTTGAATTGTTAATGTGTTACTAATTTATTTGTTTTGGGGCATGATTTAAATGTAGTCTAACCAAGTAAAGTGTAAATAATAAATAATACAATTCATAAACCACATAAATATTTTAAAGTAACCTTAAATGTGGATTAATTTATTAGTCTTAGATACAAAATATCAAACCAAGTGGCATCTACAAACAAATTATGCTAGAGCTTTTCTCAGAACTGATTTTTATTAGTTTTTATTAGGCCTTTTACAATGACATTCTGCAGTTTTATTCATGGTAATTTTAGTGGCTGAAGTCACTTCTCCTCAAATTCACACATGTGTCTTGCCAACGTAATGGCAGATCTTCCCAATAACATGTTGCACAAAGTTTGATAAGACTTTGATAACACATTTTTATTAATTTTATAATTGTTTTGTTAACTATATTATATTATATCCCTATGTAGGACAAGCTGTTTGAAGAATGGATATATATATATATATATATATATATATATATATATATATATATATATATATATAT